AACAGAGCAATGGCAATCTGTATTTCATTGATGTTTGGAAGGTTGGGAAGTGTAGTTGGCGCTTCCATCAGCGCTATGCTACTGGACAAACATTGTGAGACTGCCTTCTATATATCTGGCACAAGTGTCCTAGGTAACTCTAGCAAATTGGCATTCAGTAGCCAATTAGTTCTTTTGCTCACTTCATTTTCGCTTTTGTTCGAAACGAAATTTACATGATCTAATATTTTTTTCTCTTCTTTTTCTCTAGCTGTGGGAGTGCTAACGTACTTTATCCCGAAAATTCATGAAAAGGTCGACAGTCGAAAATCAATCGTACAAAACGAACCACGTCTCAGTGTCATATCATTCAGATAGGCTGTGTTATTAGTAATTTAAATGCGATAAAAAGAAACTATGACACAAATTATACTATGAATACTATGGAGTCAAAATGCATGGAAACCCAATTCATTCTCAGCTATATTTTGTGTGTGCTGTGAACATTAAATTATGTTCAAAAGTATTAGAACATTTAGATGTATACCATAAGAAATTTTAGATATTAAGTATCAGAACTTCCACTGTGAGCCTATTTAAATGTATATTTACCATTTAGTAATAAATTTTAATTGATAATATTTTGTTTTGGATAGACTGCCAATAGACCCATTTTCACGATGATCTCCAACAAAATAAATAAATATCAATCTAGTTACTTCAACGTAATCCCAACCATGTTTTCCATCTAAATGTATTTCAAGGTTTTGACTTTTCCTTAATCGAACATGAACAGCTTTAATTTCTCTTCTTACGGTTGTGAAAGTTCAAATTCCGAGGTATTGATTCATAAACAAGCGAAATTTAATCATCATCCCGAGCTATATCTCGGAATGTCGCAAATGGCAACAGAAGATCCATGTAAATAATCATCTGCATGTCATTTTATGGTCGACTGAGGAAAATAAATCTGTTGGCGATAAGATTTTTTCTTGTTCCAAATGAATTACGATACATTCTAAAACGAGATTCTGCTAACGGATCGACGGTCTGTGCTTCATCTAGAAAATATTTTACTGAAGTTAGATTAACAACTCATAATATGATTTGAAACGTGATCGTAAAACTAAGATTCGTAACAGGCCGATAGTTCCAACAAATACTTGCGTAAATCCACAATTGAAATGTGGAAATGAAAATTTACGATCTATTTTTATAGAACGTATTTCAAACAGGAATTCTAAGAGTATGTAAATATACAATAAAAAATTTGTTAAAACTGCATGATAAACACTGATAATGTAGATTTACATAGATTCTTTGTACATTTTCTCCTTCATTTACCCAACCAAAAGCAAATAAAAAAATTCACCATAAACAATATTGATATGATTAAACAGAAGTAAGCGCTTACGGTTAGATAAATTGATGGGTAGTACAGGGCTGGAATTCTAAGTCATTCCACCAAAATCATTCGGAATTATTTTTTTCGTACATAAGACCATATTGGAGTGAAAGAGAGAGATTCCACTATTTTTCAGCGTTCCACCGGAATTATTTCTCACACATTCCACTCTTCCTTGAGTTATCGGAATAATTCCGGTGGAATGCTGAAAAATAGTGGAATCTCTCTCTTTCACTCCAATATGGTCTTATGTACGAAAAAAATATTTCCGAACGATTTTGGTGGAATGACTTAGAATTCCACCCCAGGTGACGAGAAAAAAAATGATGCGCGTCATGAATAGAAGAGCGTGAGCAGAGCTTTTTATGGTTTGTTTAGTAACGTGATGAAAATAAACAAGAACAAAATACAAATAGTATTACCGTCTAACAATTTTTAACACGCACTGTTTTTTTGGATCAGTTTGAATGTCAATGTTCTTCTATTTGCTCGATTACTATGTATACCAATTATTTTTTCAATTTTCAGCAAAATCGGATTACATTTGAAAAATTTCAACTTATTGCTGTTTTAGCAAGTCTTTAGAAAACGCACTAAACTTGATAACTTTCTTATTTGGACGTAACACGGACAAAGTAATGATGTAGAAATATTTGTTTTGGGATCCTCTATCATCGGGCATTCAAACACTCAATGTTTTAACATGTGTTGCACGGAATAATCTGTTGTGGTGCACGATTTGATTATTTGATATTTACATAAACGAAGTGCAATCAAAAATCAAACAGGCACGGAGAATCGGCTGTATTGCTTGCTACCGAAATGGAAAATCCTGTTCCTTGATCGATCTCTCCACCTCAATACAACGTGATACTTAATCGACGTGATTTCTGTGTGGACACCCACAATAAAATTCACTGTAACCAACTGTAACTTAACAGTGAATTGTCACAGTCACAGTGAGCATGCGAGCGGTTATAACGCATACATACATACATACACGTACACGCAGTAAGCTATTGAGCGTGCGTGTATGTATACGTTATACTCGTTCGTATGCTCACTGTGGCTGTGACAATTCACTGTTAAGTTATAGTGACTACTAAGTTAACAGCAAACTTCCTAGGGGGAATAGAAATGGAAAAATCCTGCATTCGAATGTATGCATACATTTAACACAGCGTTATATTGAAGTAATTACTACGACGGAAACGTTTGTTTTTTCTTCTTTGCCTTTGCTGCGACGTTTATTTAATTATCATTTTCCATTGTGATGTAGCGTGAACTTGTTTATCGGTAGAAAAAAAATTAATTATCGAATTTTATTTGTGTAACCTAGAATAGAAAATTCGCACAGGTATTCTATGAAGGCTTTTGTTGTTTTTGATAATCAACATTATTTCCTAGAGGAAAATTTTCATTTAGAAACACAGTACGACAGGTGTTTTTTTTTGTCCCTGCCGAGATATTTGGACGGCTGAAAAAGGGCCTCAAATCATGAAGAACTGCATCATTAATTTTTGAAAGTTGGTAAGGTTTTGTCGTTTTTCGATATTTTGCGTTTCCAGTATACAAGTCATTGTCAAATGAAATTGCATGCCATTTACTCCCATTATTAGTGGTTTTACGCATATGATTACTTCGACAAAAATGTTCAGCGGGCAATTCTACATGGAAATATACTTGCCAGATCCAAAAATTTCCAATGATTGTGTGAAATATGGTCAAAAATGTCCAAAACGCCACCATTTTTTTTCTCTCGAAAATATGGGGAGTCTTCTCAGTCGAAAACTCTTAAAAGTGACTTTTTGAGGTACCTCCCGAACAAAAGTGACATTTTTCATGGATTTTGCTATGAAATTATCGTGTTTAAATGCAAACGCTGAATTTAATATATTATCATTGAACTCGTAGGGATTCTCCAACTTGAGCTGAATCAAGATTTTTCATTGTCAATGACAGAAACGTTGGGATATATCCACATATTTATTTATAAATAAAAAGCACGATATTCAACGGTATGATATGATGATACGTCGTAATACTTTTTTTTATGTCGATATCAAAACGTATTTCCATGAAATATATGGATTGGATATGATGAACTTCTACCAGGAGACTTTGAAAGAATATACTCTTGTGAAATGTATACAATGCAGTTAATTTTAGTATTGATAACAACTCTACGGTATTTATAAGTTACGTACTTTGAATTTACTTTTCGAAATTTCATTTGGTGATTTTACTTACCTATCTCTGACCATCCGCCATATCAAGTGCACGTATCCATGATTTACTATACATTCATCTACGCATATCGTAAACGATCGATTCTACATAGGATGTTGAATCATTGCTGGTGAGAAAATTATTACACGTAGACCCTACGTCGCAGAGAGTGTCTATTATGTGTCTCGTTTAAGGTAGACTATTGGTTATCAGGGGTAAGTGTAACAGTATGCACAACGATTCGCCGCTAAATTGTTGTCATTCCAGATCAGTGTTAATGCACATGTTTGTAGAATTACGTTTCAAACGTTATTTTATTGTTGCCAAATCCAAATCTCGATTGTCTAGTATTTGCATTTGGATTAAATCGTCATGTTGATGGATTGCCAAGCGTAACATGACGACGATCATTTATCACCATACTGTTATTGTATTATGATGCGTCCTGGCGTTTGATCTATTAATGCAGAAATAACAACCGCTGAAATGAAGTGAATTACGCACCAAAATGCGAAACTAGGAGAACAAAACGACAACACATCGCTCAAGGTTAGAGACAATGAGGCGTTTGTATTTTTTCACGGTTCAGTGAAAACAGATGAAAGTGAAACTCGTTTTCTCGTTTGAAATTTGCTATCCACGATAAACCCGTGTTGTACAACTTGTAATATACACAACAAAAAGCAAAATGTACGATGAAAAGACGCTCGTGTTCGGTATGCTATTTTTACAATCCAAGATTGATTAACCTCATGTGATTACTATCGCACCGCAGTCTAATTGTTCCAAATGAGGTGTAAATACACTAATCGGTCTGAAGATTATTTTATTTCAAATGCTCAAATGGATGTCAACATATAATATTTCAGCGCTTAAAACGAATCGATTTTTGATTCGAACAAAAAATCGTCAACCGGTCTTCAAAACTATCGACGTCACATAGCATCTGCCGCATGCATAAAATACGATCAATATTTTTTTGTGCAATATAATCCAAATTGATTTTCGATTATAAAACGCAATCTCATGCCTCGTTTAAATTAACTTATGCAAATCGAATGGAGCGAAAGAATCACTGAACCGAACTCTAATCGAATTTGATTTAAAATATTTTGTGTCCATGAAAACAAATAGAATATGAAAAAATTAATTATTTTTTCTATCACTCAAATTAGGTGCGTGCGCGCAAATTCGCTTGTTGGCTATTTGACTGACTGGTTCGTTGTTGTGTGTTCGTTCGTCGCACGCTTTGACACTCCAACTAATCGGATACAACGTAAAATAAACAGGCATCTCATCTCCGCGCAACGCAGAGCATTTTTTGTGGATTTTTCAAACGATGGCATTTTTTGTTTTCTTCCCCTTCTCTCTGGTTTTTTTTTATCACCCAGAAAAATCTAAACATTTGCATTATGGTCTTATCAATAACTGGAAGAGGTGTAATCAGTTTATGATATAGACATTGCCACATTCGCAGCATTTTCGGCGCATATTTATACGCACGGCGAACACTTTATTCCAACATTTCACATCTTCCGTTCAGCCGATATATACCTTTTCACATTCAGCGGCGTCGTTTGAATTCGTCAAAAACAGTTTAACCGATTTTTTTCCCTAAATAATAATAATCGCAATCTTGTTGCTCCGAAACAGTTTAAAATAACAATCGTTTAATATGTGCCAAACTACAGACGAACATGAAGTGGAAAATGGTGCGAAATGTTTATTTTTTACATTTTGGATTAAAACGGAGAATTTCTCTATGGGAGAAAAAAAATATTTGGATTAGAAAAAAGAAACAAAATTCAAATAAAAGGAAAATGGACAAAATCATTATTAAATAGAAATTTTTCATTCGAAAGGCCGCAGAGACTCAGATATTCGACCGAAAATTCGAAATGATTTACCTCAGAGGAAAAAAGGATATTATATGGATGAAGCCATTTCCAAAACCAGTAAGTCATTTGATTCTTGAAATATTAGTGAACAGTGAACTGAATAAAATGACAAATGAAAAACGAAACAGAATTACAACAAAAAAAAAACGATGTAAAAAATATGAACTTTATTTTTAAAATAACAAGGAAAATGAACAGAAATGATATAATTGTCGAAAAACAACAGTGTTCAATCAGAAATATTTTTTTTCTCAAAAACTGCAATGATTTATTCATATGTATATAAAAAATTTACTATCGTAAACCATCCAAATTGTAACATAGTCTAAATTGTAAAAATTACACAAATAGACTAATTTTCTGCAAAACTTTGAAGGGTAACTGTTGTTTTTTATATCATATTTGAAAAGAATACGAAAAAAAACTTCCCATATTAATATATGACTTATTTGTATTTTTTTTTAGAAAATTGGTTTATTTTGAGACTATGTTACGATTTGAACTATGTTACAATTTGGATGGTTTACGATATATAAAAAAATAATGAAAAATCGTTCTATTAAAATTAGAGTTCGGTTTCTTCAACTACGTCATAATTTTTCTGAGTGGCATGATATTGAATGCAGTGATGTTGGAAACATGTGGTATGGCCTTTGTGATTCCCGTTTCACAATGTGATTTGAAATTGAGTACGAGTGAAAAAGGGATTTTGGGCGCCGTTTCATTCTTTGGAATAATTTGCTCATCACATTTGTGGGGCTACCTAGCAGATACCAAAGGCCGTCGCTGCGTTATTCAACCGACTCTTTTCGTAGCATTTCTTTTGTCTGTCGCTGCTTCATTCGTTCAAAATTTCTATCTTTTCGCCACATTACGATTTCTCAATGGATTTTTGTAAGTTGCTATTTGCATATTTAATAAATTAAAGTATGTAATTTACGAGTATTGAAATCAATGATCAACAAGTGTCGATCGTGCGAATCAATCATAAAGTCTATGTGTATCACTAGACTATAATGGAAATGAATTCATTTGGTTTATCATAAAATAGCATCTCCGGTTCATCGGCTACGATTTATGCATATTTGGGTGAATTCCATAACAACGCACAACGAGGTCGTGCCATAATGGGATCAGCATTAATCTACGGTGTTTCGTGCCTGTTGTTGCCATTGCTCGCGTGGTTCGTCATTAATCAAGACTGGCAGTTTTACGTACCTTTCATTGATATCACATACAAACCGTGGCGTTTCTTCCTTGTTGTCTGTAGTATTCCTGGATTCCTTTCGTCGTTGATCCTATTATTTTTGCCAGAGAGTCCGAAATTCGTTCTCGGTCAAGGTAAACAAATGGAAGCTCATAAAATTTTGCAAAAAATGAACCGATGGAATAACGGCAAGAAAAACGAACTCGAATTATTTGAAATTTATGAAGAGACTGAGTCAATCGAAAATCGACGTCGTATTCTGGAAAACAAAAACAGTCGATTCCCATTGCTGAAATCAGTTTGGATTCAAACAGCTCCTTTGTTCAAACCTCCTCATTTGTCATCGACTCTTTTGATTTGCACTATTCAATTCGGAATTTATGCTACGAGCAACGGATTTTACATGTTCTTCGCCGAAATCTTGAACAAAATGGCATCGAATTTGGACAGTTTTACTGAACAACGTATGGCCATGTGCGATATTATCAACATGAAACCGGCTAATATGAGCGCAATCCTACTCGACGAATATGACGATGGAGAATGCATAACAAAACTCGAGTTGGCAACGTTAGAGCAAGGAATCGTTTTGGAAGTTTTGTTTGCCGTAGGCTTTATGGTCATCGGACTGATCATTAATAAAGTTGGCAAATTCCCCATTTTATGTGAGTATGATGATCATATTGTAATCAAATTATTACGAGCTTAAGTGAATATTAAACAAAAAATGTTTTCGTTTGCCCCGGAAATAGTTTTCATTTTGATAGTTAGTGGATCGAGTGGCATTGCTTGTATGCTAACTAATATACCAGTGGTTCAGGTGTACTTACTTATTACATTGATGTGTTCAGGCATCGCAGTGAATATTGTCAATTCGGCGACCGTTGAACTGTATCCAACCGCTTTGAGGTGAATTACTATTATTCGATTATAATAGTTCAATGATTATTGGAAGGAATTATGAACTTTTTTTAATCAATTCAACATTTTTTCCCGCCAACAGAGCAATGGCAATCTGTATTTCATTGATGTTTGGAAGGTTGGGAAGTGTAGTTGGCGCTTCCATCAGCGCTATGCTACTGGACAAACATTGTGAGACTGCCTTCTATATATCTGGCACAAGTGTCCTAGGTAACTCTAGCAAATTGGCATTCAGTAGCCAATTAGTTCTTTTGCTCACTTCATTTTCGCTTTTGTTCGAAACGAAATTTACATGATCTAATATTTTTTTCTCTTCTTTTTCTCTAGCTGTGGGAGTGCTAACGTACTTTATCCCGAAAATTCATGAAAAGGTCGACAGTCGAAAATCAATCGTACAAAACGAACCACGTCTCAGTGTCATATCATTCAGATAGGCTGTGTTATTAGTAATTTAAATGCGATAAAAAGAAACTATGACACAAATTATACTATGAATACTATGGAGTCAAAATGCATGGAAACCCAATTCATTCTCAGCTATATTTTGTGTGTGCTGTGAACATTAAATTATGTTCAAAAGTATTAGAACATTTAGATGTATACCATAAGAAATTTTAGATATTAAGTATCAGAACTTCCACTGTGAGCCTATTTAAATGTATATTTACCATTTAGTAATAAATTTTAATTGATAATATTTTGTTTTGGATAGACTGCCAATAGACCCATTTTCACGATGATCTCCAACAAAATAAATAAATATCAATCTAGTTACTTCAACGTAATCCCAACCATGTTTTCCATCTAAATGTATTTCAAGGTTTTGACTTTTCCTTAATCGAACATGAACAGCTTTAATTTCTCTTCTTACGGTTGTGAAAGTTCAAATTCCGAGGTATTGATTCATAAACAAGCGAAATTTAATCATCATCCCGAGCTATATCTCGGAATGTCGCAAATGGCAACAGAAGATCCATGTAAATAATCATCTGCATGTCATTTTATGGTCGACTGAGGAAAATAAATCTGTTGGCGATAAGATTTTTTCTTGTTCCAAATGAATTACGATACATTCTAAAACGAGATTCTGCTAACGGATCGACGGTCTGTGCTTCATCTAGAAAATATTTTACTGAAGTTAGATTAACAACTCATAATATGATTTGAAACGTGATCGTAAAACTAAGATTCGTAACAGGCCGATAGTTCCAACAAATACTTGCGTAAATCCACAATTGAAATGTGGAAATGAAAATTTACGATCTATTTTTATAGAACGTATTTCAAACAGGAATTCTAAGAGTATGTAAATATACAATAAAAAATTTGTTAAAACTGCATGATAAACACTGATAATGTAGATTTACATAGATTCTTTGTACATTTTCTCCTTCATTTACCCAACCAAAAGCAAATAAAAAAATTCACCATAAACAATATTGATATGATTAAACAGAAGTAAGCGCTTACGGTTAGATAAATTGATGGGTAGTACAGGGCTGGAATTCTAAGTCATTCCACCAAAATCATTCGGAATTATTTTTTTCGTACATAAGACCATATTGGAGTGAAAGAGAGAGATTCCACTATTTTTCAGCGTTCCACCGGAATTATTTCTCACACATTCCACTCTTCCTTGAGTTATCGGAATAATTCCGGTGGAATGCTGAAAAATAGTGGAATCTCTCTCTTTCACTCCAATATGGTCTTATGTACGAAAAAAATATTTCCGAACGATTTTGGTGGAATGACTTAGAATTCCACCCCAGGTGACGAGAAAAAAAATGATGCGCGTCATGAATAGAAGAGCGTGAGCAGAGCTTTTTATGGTTTGTTTAGTAACGTGATGAAAATAAACAAGAACAAAATACAAATAGTATTACCGTCTAACAATTTTTAACACGCACTGTTTTTTTGGATCAGTTTGAATGTCAATGTTCTTCTATTTGCTCG